GATGGAAGAAAGAATATTACTTATGTATTGCAACTTGAAATAGATCGCTTGAGATTTAAATATCTGAGATGCAAATTAAAGTTTTCAAACTTAGATAAATTTGTTTGAACATGTTTGAAAATGTTTCTATTTTAAGCTCTAGTGACCCATTTTTTGGAGGTCAATATCAATGTGAACAAACATGAGAAAATAAACTTTCTGATAACTTTAACTTAATATGTACAACACAAGTTATTTGTAACCACTGCTACTCCCCTGAACTCAGGTTAAGTCTGCACCTCTGGTTGCGTGTGCACCTCTAGTTGAGTGTGCACCTCCGGTTGAGTATGCACCTCTGTTTGAGTGTGCAACTCAGGTTGAGTATGCACCTCCAGTTGAGTGTGCAACTCATGTTGAGTGAGCACCTCTGACTGCGTGGAGTTTGCACCTCTGGTTGAGTGTGCACCTCCGATTGAGTTGAGTGTGCACCTCCGATTGAGTTTGAGTGTGCACCTCTTGTAGAGTCTGCACCTCCGATTGAGTTGAGTGTGCACCTCCGATTGAGTTGAGTGTGCACCTCTTGCATAGTCTGTGCCTCTGATTGAGTTGAGTGTGCACCTCCGATTGAGTTGAGTGTGCACCTCTTGTAAAGTCTGCACCTCTGATTGAGTTGAGTGTGCACCTCCGATTTAGTGTTCATCTACCATTGAGATGAGTGTGCACCTAAAGTTAAGTGTGCACCTATGGTTGAGTATGCACCTCTGGTTGAGTATGCACCTTTGGATAAGTGTGCACCTACGGTTGCTTCTTTACCTCCAGATGATTGTGGAATATTGAGAGAAAAAGGAAAATTTTCTACTTTCTCTCTTACACTGGGCAAAATAATTGCATGGGAGATAAATTACAGTGTGCAGATTTTACTATTTGATTGTTCATTTCACATTTTACAAGGAGGGGGATTTGCTGGTCTTAAAATCAAAGTCTTTACTATTCCCAGGGGTAGTAGTAGATAGGATTACAAATAACTAGTGTTTTATAATGCACATGTATATATCTTCATTATAACTTCTCCATAAATTTTTTCTTCATTTTTATGAGGAAAACTGAAAAGGTGTTTATTAAAATTTTGTGGTTAAAAAAATTTTTCAGCCCCTGGCTTTTAACAAGTTTAAAAAATTTTTTATTGGTCTCTGAAAAATTTAAAATTCTATTTATTAATAAAAAAAACTGCATCACTAAATGTGTTTTCCCCCCAAGTTGCTTCGGAAAAAGGGTTTACTAGTAACAGAATCCTTTTTAAAAAAATTTAAGTTATGGTTTGGGCAAAAAAAGATAATTTTGGTTTATGTATTTGCTTTCCTTTTTGTGGTTCCATTGTGAAGTTTAATTGTTCTCTGTAATGTGGACGAAAAAAAAACAAAGGGGAAAAACCCTATAAAATACTGAAAATAATTTTTAGTTTTTTGTGCAAAGCACTTCCTCTTTTTTGCTTGCCCTTGTAAAGAAAAGGTTTTTTAATTCCCAAACCCGACGTTTTAAGTTTTTTGCCCCCGGACAAGGAAAAGTATTTCAAAAGGCCCAGTAACTCTGTATTTTGTCAAAATGGAGTTATGGCCTTTTGTGCGAACGTGCAACTTCCTTTTGAATGTCCCTTGGCAAAAACTGATGAAAGTTTACTGAATTCCAAAAGTAGTTTTCAAAGTTAATGCCTGGACAAGGGAAAACTAAAGGGCCCAATAACCTCTGTTTTAATTGTCCCAAAGATGGAGTTATGCGTTTTTGGTGCACTGCACTTCCCCCTTATTGTCTTTTGAACCATTGTAGAAAAGTTGTTTTGAATTCCAATCAGTAGTTTTCAAGTCATGCTCTGGCAAGGGAAAAGTAACAAAGGGCAGGTTAACTCTGTAAAATTTGAGGTCAAGGATGGAGTTTATGGTTCCTATGCACTGCAACATTCCTCTCATGTGCTTGCCATTGTATAAGTTTAGTAATGAATCCCAACAATAAGTTCTTAAAGTTAGTGGTCCGGACAAAAGAAAGCAATGAAAAAGTAACAAAGGGCAATAACTCTGTAATTAGTCAAGATGGAGTTATAGTTCTTGTGCACTGCACTTCCCCTTATTGTGCTTGACCATTGTATGAAGTTGTTTTGAATTCCAACCAGTAGTTTTAAAGTCATGCTCTGGACAGGGAAAAAAAACAAAGGGCAGTAACTCTGTAATAAGTCAAAATGGAGTTATGGTTCTTGTGCACTGCACTTCTTTCTCAATGTGCCGGACCATTGTATGAAGTTATAATGAATTCCAACAATTAGTCTTCAAGTTATGGTCCGGACAAAAGAAAGCAATGGAAAAGTAATAAAGGGGAATATAACTCTGTAATTACTTTAGATAGAGTTATGGTTTCTTATGCACTGCACTTCCTCTCAATGTGCTTGAACCATTGTATGTAGTTATATTGGGAATTCCCAACCATTAGTCTTCAAGTTATGCTCCGGACAAAAAAAAAGAATGCAAATTGAAAGCAACAAAGGGCAATTACTTCTGTAATTACTTTAGATAGAGTTATGGTTCTTGTGCACTGCACTTCCCCTTATTGTGTTTGACAATTGTATGAAGTTGTTTTGAATTCCAACCAGTAGTTTTCAAAGTAATGCCACGGACAAGGAAAAGTAACAAAGGGCAATAACTCTGTAATTAGTCAATATAGAGTTATGGTTCTTGTGCACTGCACTTCCTCTCAATGTGCTTGACCATTGTATGTAGTTATATTGAATTCCAACCATTAGTCTTCAAGTTATGCTCCGGACAAGGAAAATGCAACAGACAAAAAAACTAGAAATGTGTCCATAGGACACGGATGCCCCCACACGCAATCTGTCAATCTTATGACTCTAGGTCAAATATTTTTTGGACAAAAAATCAACAAAGGGCCATAATTCTGTTAAATTTGGTCGCAGCAAAAATTCTTTCCTTTACTAACATCTACACATTAAGGTTGTAAATCCCTGGAAGTTTAAGCAAAATCTGCCATCCGATTTAAGAGGAGTTACGTTCACAAAATTTCTACAAAGTATATAATGAAAAAATCAACAAAGGGCCATAATTCTGTTAAATTTGGTTGCAGCAAAAATTCCTTCCTTTACTAACATCTACACATTAAGGTTGTAAATCCCTGGAAGTTTAAGCAAAATCTGCCATCCGGTTTAAGAAAAGTTGCATTCACAAATTTTCTACATAGTATATAGTGAAAAAATCATCAAAGGGCCATAATTCTGTTAAATTTGGTCGCAGCAAAAAATCCTTCCTTTACTACCATCTACACATTAAGGTTATTCATCCCTGTAAGTTTAAGCAAAATCTGCCAACCGGTTTAAGAGGAGTTGCGTTCACAAAATTTCTACATAGTATATAGTGAAAAAAATCAACAAAGAGCCATAATTCTGTTAAATTTGGTCGCAGCAAAAATTCCTTCCTTTACTACCATCTACACATTAAGGTTGTTCATCCCTGTAAGTTTAAGCAAAATCTGCCAACCGGTTTAAGAGGAGTTGCGTTCACAAAATTTCTACATAGTATCTAGTGAAAAAATCAACAAAGGGCCATAATTCTGTTAAATTTGGTCGCAGCAAAAATTCCTTCCTTTACTACCATCTACACATTAAGGTTGTTCATCCCTGTAAGTTTAAGCAAAATCTGCCATCCGGTTTAAGAGGAGTTGCGTTCACAAGATTTCGGGACGTACGGACGGACGGACGGACTGACTGACTGACTGACGGATTGACGGACGGACGGACAAGTGCAACGCTATATGCTCCCACATTGTGGGGGCATAAAAACGCAATGGAAAAGCAACAAAGGGCAATAACTCTGTAATTACTTTAGATAGAGTTATGGTTCTTGTGCACTGCACTTCCCCTTATTGTGTTTGACAATTGTATGAAGTTGTTTTGAATTCCAACCAGTAGTTTTCAAGTAATGCCCCGGACAAGGAAAAGTAACAAAGGGCAATAACTCTGTAATTAGTGAAGATAGAGTTATGGTTCTTGTGCACTGCACTTCCTCTCAATGTGCTTGACCATTGTATGTAGTTATATTGAATTCCAACCATTAGTCTTCAAGTTATGCTCCGGACAAGGAAAATGAAACGGACAAAAAAAAAAACGCAATGGAAAAGCAACAAAGGGCAATAACTCTGTAATTACTTTAGATAGAGTTATGGTTCTTGTGCAGTGCACTTCCCCTTATTGTGTTTGACAATTGTATGAAGTTGTTTTGAATTCCAACCAGTAGTTTTCAAGTTATGCCCCGGACAAGGAAAAGTAACAAAGGGCAATAACTCTGTAATTAGTTAAGATAGAGTTATGGTTCTTGTGCACTGCACTTCCTCTCAATGTGCTTGACCATTGTATGTAGTTATATTGAATTACAACCATTAGTTTTCAAGTTATGCTCCGGACAAGGAAAATGCAACGGACGTCTGGACCGACCGACCGACCGCCCGACCGACCGACCACCGGGTGACTCCTATATACCCCCCCAAACTTCGTTTTTGGGGGTATAATAAGAACTGTAAACTGTTGAAAAGAGTTATTTTTCATTGACTCGCCTATAGTGTAACACTAACATTAGCATACTACAACGTTATGTTTATATATAGCAAAAATGATGTCACGTCAAAGTATTAAATGGCTTTATTACACTCCCGCGCCACATCTCTGATATTTTAATCTCAAAACAATTTTCTTGGAATGTGTGACAGGTAGTATTTACATCTATATATTTATTTACTTTAAAAACTGATGACATAAATTAAACCTTGATCTATGCAAACAATGAAAAATCTTAAAACACAAAGAAAAATCAAAATCATTACAAGAAAAAAAAACATAGCAATGATTTTCTTGGTTAATATAGATTAAAAATGAAACAACTTTGATGGCCAGAACGATGTCTAGCCATCTATACAAGCCTGAATGGTACACAAAAGACTGGCAAAAAAAAAACAAAGACACTACTTGCCACCAAAAAGTCTTTCCAAATTGCTCTCTATAAGATAAAAAATACCAGAAATAACATGTACAAGCTCTTCTAAAGTTCTGATTTCATGAATGATGAGTCTTCCCTCACTACTGAGGGCATATGCTAACATTCTTGCATATGCTGCAGGATTATCTACTGTTTACGCTGGTGCTAGAAAAACCTTTCCTACACCCCCAATGTAAGACAAGTCGCATGCTTTAAATGATGTCATTGCCACGCGCCTTTTATAAATGAATTGCGTTCTTCAGATAACATCATTTTGCCATTATGAATAAAGTTGTAAATTCATATGGTACAATAAGAAAAAGTGCTAAATGAAAATATAAGTTTTCGTAATTTCATTCCGAAATATCATTAATTTGTAATATGCAAGAAAAAGAATCTGTCACAGACAGGAAAATCTAGCTCTCGGTTAACTGTTTAACGTAAACTCAGCTCGTTACTACAGTTAACAGTTACCCTTAAGCTGGATATCCCAGTCTGTACTAAGGCAGCTTGTGTAAAGAGTCTTATATTTTAGAACTCTAGTACATGTACCTTCATATGTATTATTAAAGGAATTCGCATGCATTGTGGTAGCACTGTTAACCTTCCCTCTACTACATAGCGTTTTCACATAAATGAATATTTCTTTTACGGGATCTAACTTACAGTACCATTGTGAGGGTTAAATGCTGAGATGTCAGTTGTCAGAGCTGTTTTGCCCGAGAAACTCCTTGCTAGAATGAATCAGAGTTGGCAATCTCTATATACAGTTAAGCAAACAAGTTTAATTAACACTATGCTAATGTAAAATCAAATGCTTTAAGGCCATTCCACACATATTGCTGAGCAAATTATTTAAATTATTAAAATTGATCAAAATCTTCCTCCCTCTTCCCCATGCCTCAAGGAGACTGGTCAAAACAGAATGATTTGTTAATTTCAGACTGACAGATGTATGGACTCACATGCTGTCAAATTAACAGAAAGATAGAATCACATGCTGCCAAACTGACAAATGGATGGTATCACATTCTGACAAATGGATTGGGACAAAGGCTGATATGTATGAATGAAAAGGCTGACAAGTATGAATGAAAAGGCTGACAGATGCAGAGAAGTAAAGGAACACACACTGAAAAATGAATGGGGAAAAAAGTGACAGATGAATGAAAGCTGAAGCTGACAAGTGGATGGAATAACATGCTGACAAACTTATGGGAGAAAAGGCTGAAAGATGTATGAAATTAAATGTCGACAGATGTAGATAAGTAAAGGAAGACAGCTAAATGGAATAACATACTGACAAATGATCAGAATCACATACAAACAATTAGAATCACATATTTACAAATGATTTGAATCACATACTGACAAATGATTTGAATCACATACTGACAAATGATCGGAATCACATACTGACAAACAATTAGAATCACATACTGACAAATGATTAGAATCACATACTGACAAAAGATTTGAATCACATACTGACAAATGATTAGAATCAAATCTCGACAAAAGACAGGTATCACATGTTGACAAATGCTCATAATATACTGACAAATGGATCAGGACAAAGGACAGATGTATGAAATAAAAAGCTGACAGATGTAGGTAGAAATGGAAGACAGATGAATGTACCAACAATTTAAACAAATCACACACAAACATACATATAATAAATCACAGATGAACAGATTAATAGAAATGCATATTAACAGATAAATGAAGACAAAAAAAAGATGGAATAATCTATTTCTGAAGCTCTAGTATCAGAAATAGTAATATGCAAAAATATTAATTTGCTTAATATATGTGAAATGGCCTTGACTGAATTTTACACACAACTGTCAAAGACTGCATGCTCAATTATGCTCAGAGCAGCATGGTACATGTAGAAAAACAAGAACCATGCAGGAATAGTGGAAGTTAACAAAGGGAATAATTCTGGAAAAAATCCATTACAGGTTGATGGTCTTGATCAATGACCTGCAATGACCTACAATGTTGACACTGAAGACAAGTTGAGTGGTATTTTAAGTTACAAATCGGGTATTATTCAGAATTGAGCTGGCTACAAATATGAATGAAAGTAACCTGCAATTTCGACCCTGAAAACATGTCCATAAATTTTAAATAAATACCTTAATTGGTTCAGAAAGAATGATGTAAAGCCTTACCCAAGTGTTACTCAAACTGAGTACAAAACCAGTGCATGATAAATCTATTAATTCTTAGTATCTAATTCAAGTATTGCTAAATCATTCAATTTCTAGCTTTTTTTTTTCATTTTGCTCATTTGCACTTTTTGGATTAGACATCTAACCTTTACCTTTAAAGCCTCAAGTTTACTAATGTAGGTAGACCTCTGGTGCTTCATCTGAGTTATGCATACGAGTAGGACCACCACCATTTCTTAAGCTAACATGATAGCTTCCTCACACGGAATAATTCAAAATACCATGCTGGATTTTCTTTCTATTTGTTGGGTTTTATGCCGCACCAACACAGTAAAGGTCATAATTATAGCGACATTCCAGCTTTGCTAGTGGAGGGATACTTCAGGTGAATTTCTATGCATTATTTCAGACCTGGGTAGAACCACAAGCATAAATAAGTAGATAGCTTCCTCACATGAAAGAATCGGAGGTCCCTGTCAGGATTCAGACCAAAAGTGTGCAGGGGCAAGTGGTTTGAAGTCAATGACCATAACCACTCGGCCACGAACGCCTCACCATGCTGGATAAACTGGAGTAGTACGGGGCTTTACCTAAACATTGAGTATTTTTAAATCACGCATTTTCTGTCCGAAAACTAAATATATTTCAGCTACAATGCAAGTTTTATTGTGTTAACTTTGTCTTTAACAAGAGCTGTCAGTTGGACTATTCTCAGTGCCTATGAGTCCAAGTTTTACAGAAAATTTTGTTAGTGCAAAAAAGGGAAATAATTCAGCAAAATTCATCACTAGAGTTATGCATCTGGTCAGTAACCTTTTGTTATGACACTAAAGTGAAGAACATCAGCAGTTAGTGTGATATGACAATGTACACAATGCCTTGCTACACTAATGACAAGTTGAGTGTCTGAAAAGTCATGTTAAATGACGTCTAGAAAAAGTCATGTAACAACTTCCCATTGAACATAAATCTAACTAAATAGAAACTCAAATCAAAAATAAGCAGAAAATACACCAAGAAAAAAACTTTTAAGAGTTTAACTAAATAAAGTTAAATCAAAGTTGGCTTGAAATAAATATAAATTCCAAATGGTTATTTGCAAGCATCCTTATCCTTTAATGCTTACATACGGTACCTTTCCCCCACCCCTGCCTATCCCCACCCTCTTAACTGTGCATGCGATCATTAGCAGGAAGCAGTTTTATATTCAAGGCAATTTATGTTCAAAAGAGGAACATTTATTATTTATGAATATCACTTAAAAAATCAAATTAATAAAACAAAGATTGAAGCTTTGTTTTATTAATACATGTATAACATATTTGATTGATCAAAAATTATATACATGTACATATGTATTAGGGAAATCAATACTCGAAGTTGAAATGACAAGATAGACATATACAGGAATGTTTTTTAATTAGACCACACATTGTGGTCTGAAAAAAAATTACTTTTTAATAATAAATTTTTCACAAAGGAAGCTTGCTTATCATAAATTCATTATAGAGATTCTTGGTTAAATGGACATATATAAATGGTTGCAATATAACCCTAGTTTTGTGACTCAGTGAATATATATATATATGCAAAGGATTATTTATATAGGGTTGTATAACCTGTCAAAAATCTTTATAACTAATATATTGTAATGTTGTTGTTTTAACAATAACAAAACTGAAAATATATCTTAGAACAACAGTGTAGTGTTTACAATAAACTTTCTTGTATAAAAAAAACTTTCAACTGTTTTACTATATACAGTACTGTGCAAGTACAAATTGGTAAAAAATGACCACAATTTTATAGCTAATCTAATACTTATTACAAGTATATAAAATAAGAATGGAACTTGAAATTTGACATATAAAAATATATTTCTCCCACATATAAAGTAAAGTGTTAAGCATAAGGCATACAACACAACTACGAGGGTTGTCCAAAACATTTGTGCACTGCAGTTATTGTCGTGAGAGTCATTGATAGAAACACATGAATTATATATCACTTGAAGGGGAGATCTGTCTCAAATAAGAAAACAAAAGAAAAAAACGTGTAACCGACATGTCATGAAAACGAATCGTCATACAGTTACCTTGGTAACGTAATACCGGCGCACAACAAAAAATTGGGTTAGTTCATTACTTTGATGCATCAGGGTATTCTCTAAACACTACATATAAACGTTAAAATTCAGGGAAAAGTGTGTGTACTTATTCCTAACGTCACTAGAAAATTTGACATCATTTGCCCTATTGTAACGGTCGTAAACAAACATTTGTGTGTGATCGTCAATACTGTAATTACGTGAAAATGCCAGTCCCTAAACGTCTGGAAATACGGACGATCATTTAATTTTGTGCAAATATTGGTAAAACACCAACATATACCTACAAAGAACTTAAAAGGGCAAGCGGGACAAGTTTAGTGTCAAGTGGTTTAGTGGTGTATTGGTTTTTAAATGGCACAAACGCTTTGTAGAATGGCGAGAGTCGGTAGACGATGACAACCGGTCAGACAGACGTCCGTCCGTAATGCCGGCAAATGTGACGAGGGTTGTCCAATATATTCATGCACCGGTGGAATAGGTTACATGTACGTTGCATAAAAACAATAAAAACTACAAAACAATACTTTGCATCAATCATTCCTCTATTGACAGTAAAACAAATTATAACATAAAAAGCAAATGCCACTTTACAAGCAACAAACAATTAATACAATTACAGTAATGAACTAACCCAACTTTTGTCGTGCGCCGGTATTACGTTACTAAGGTAACTTAATGGCCATTCTTTTACACGACACACCAGTTACTCGGCTTTTTCTTTTATTTTCTTATTTGAGACAGATCTCCCCTTCAAGTGATATATAATTCATGTGTTTATATTAATAACTCTCACGACAATAACTGCAGTGCACAAACTTTTTGGACAACCCTCGTATATGTTTTACATAAGGTGAATTCACTTGTTAATATTTCACATAATATCAAGAAAACATGGCAGAAAACTACCAGTCACTAACAAATTGGAGTTAAAGCAGCACGTCTCCAGATTTGTGTTTATTTTTATGAAATTTGAAATTTGCTCTTTATAAAGTAAAAGCTTTGTCAAGTGTACAAACAAGGTCATTTAACCTTATGATCTGTTTAAAGGAGATGAAAGAACAAGGATGGACGCGGGGCATGCTACAGAAATGTCAGGAGACAGGCAGAAACTGAGGACCTCAGTCACAGCAATTTTGGCTTCCAGCACGAAGAGGACTAAGTAAGTAGTAAGGCACAAATTATCCACAGACATTCTATAACTTGTAAAAATATTCCGAAAAAAAAAAATAGCTTAGTCTTACTCAGTTGCAGTGTAGATTTTTGGTGATGATTTTGTCTGTTTTTCTAGATTTTAATTCCGATTTTAACACATTTTTGGTTATACCTCAGCGGTCATTCCACCTAACTGGATAACTAACCAGTAATTACCAATTTCTCCAAAAGTGACATACTACTAATCCTGCATGATTTCTGAATCAGCCATGAGAATTAAATGATGATTAGACTCAATGTCAGAGATCTTCATGGAAGAATAACAGCTCATCAAAGGATCAAACTAGCGACCACTAGATTACTTATCCAATGCTCTTATCTAAATGCCCTATTGAGCTATGGACACACTTTTGGTGATGAAAATAACAAATTCTGACATATATTGCAAAGGACATTCAATTTTGCACCTAGATTGTGATTATCTACACTTCTTACACTATATATATATTTTTTCTTCTTCTCAAATTTGATGTTTTGAAGATTTATTTTTACTCATCTGGAGACAAACTGCTTCAAAATCCAATCACAATTACATAAATTGTGAACTTTAAAAAAAAGTATTGAATCAATACTTTTTTTTAAGTTCTACCTATACTGTACAGTGACTATAATTATGCAAGAATTTTAGCAAATAAAACTATAATGAACTTAAAACTGCATAAATAAAAAGCAAATTATCTGACTGCATAGGGTATCTCAGTCAATTAATTTTTTGTATTAATTTATGTTTTTGTAGACCAATGCCTTAATGTGCAGCTGTTGTGTCTGCCTTTTAAAGGTAATTGTTAGAATTGTCTGAGCAAAGGGTAAATTTTGTACTGTACTGCGACAGTTATGGCCTTCCATAGTCACACATCAAGGCAGTGATATATATATTATTGTAATATATGAGCAAAATCTGGCATATAACATGAGCATAAGGCACTGATTAATCAATTAATAGTTTGTTCAAGCCAAATCATACCTGATCCAATCTTTATGAGACCATTATGCTGTATAAATATTGTATCACAGGTCAGATTGCCGTGTATCACAGGCGGCTTACACGAATGTAGGTAACTAAAATAGAAGAAAATGACATGTAAAAAGAGGTCAATAGTTGTCCTCGTCACATAATATCATAGTACTACAAACCCACAATAAGAACGTTTTACAGTCTAAAACAATAATTTTTCATTGACCCACATATATAAAATTAATATTCAGTATGAGTTTACACTATGTTAAAATAATACATATCAGGTGATAATCTATGCACAGCTGTGTCTTAACTTTCACAAAGTCAGAAAAACACCAAAGGTTTATGCTAAAAGAAGATAGTTAACAGGTGTTAGATGCCCTTCTTGAATCTGTTCTGGAAAGATAGAAAGACCCAAGGTGCACCTCCATCAATCATTTATGCTAATAGAAGAAACATCTTTAGAACCACTGACTGTCTATAACATAAACATGATAGCATTCTTGTGAGGAAAGTAAATAGAAAAATAGTTGACCCAACCATGCAAGATGGTAGACATTATTCTAGTTAATGATCCATTCCACTCTCAAACAGGCAGTGAGCCATGATCCATATCAAAAGCCTCTGGACTAGCCACCAAATGTACATGTTTATATATATATTTAATTAAAGCAGGCTGTCTGAGGACAACAAAACTATTGTACAGCAAATTATTGATGATAGATCACATTAAATGTCCTTTTTAAGAATGCTAGAAAGACTTTGATAGTCAGAGTTACTACAGACTACAAATTAATGAATTCAAAGACTTTAAAATGATACAACATGTTCAGCTCTAAATATAAAAAAAAACATCCCTGACCTTAGAGCAGAAAGAATTTGGGTGCTCCATCTTTTCCAAGCCTGAAAAAAATAACAAAGCATTCATTTTTTTCCCATTTTTACATGCATGGGTAATGATTAACAACAAAACTCCTTCATTTATTATTTAAAGCACAAATCTTGTCTCAGAATATATAACAGTTCAGTGTTTAGATGCTTTAACTATTTTTAACTATCTTTTAATTGTAAAATATCTTAAAATTTGTGACACAATAATATCAGCAAACCAATGAATATCTTTATAGTTACGAATATTTTTTCAATATTGCACATTCCAGATACTTACCTTTAACTGGAATGTTTTGTTGTTTTTCTTTGTTTTCTTCAGAAATTGTTTGAGAGATCCAGAGGACATATACTCTGTTATAAATATAACCTGTAATACCACAAGTAAACAACTGTATACATAAATATATATTATTATATCACTTAAAACACCACATGGAAATTTTGTATGCCTAAACATATATGACATGAAACACCACAAAAAAACTCTTGGATTCAATAAGAGCAATCAGTGATCACATGTGTCGCCTCATGATAGCCAAATGCATGTTGCAGCTACTGTGTAGCAGGAGACACAAAAATCATTAACAGGGCAAAACAGGTTTTTATTCAAGAGCCATAAGGCCATTTTTTTTTTATATTTTGGTTTACTGATTTTTTCCAAAAAAAGGTAGGGTCGGCGGCGGGAAAAAAAAAAAAAAAAAAAGGTTTTCATAACTTTAAATGTGGTGCATACATATACATAGTACTTACCAGAGCAATGAAATTAAATACATCGCCGATTGTCTATTCCAAGGATTGTCTAAATACATAAAAAAAAACCTTTTGCTCACATTGCCATTGTTTAAAAACACACATGAAATCTACACACGATGACTTATGACAAGTGGCAAGCCAGCCCTTCAAAAGAATCTGTCATTCTTTGATGTTTACACACTGCTGTGTAATCTGAATCATCAAAGGTGCCGAAACTCAGCTGACTTGCACTCATTTCTTTATAGATCAGAAGTTAAAAAAAAACTGTCAAAAAAAGATTACACATGTTCAATTTTCATATTGCCCAATGTGAAAATATTTTTATCGGATAATTAGCGGGTCAATTATTGACATAAAAATCTAATAATAGTAAGTGCATTTTTAAATTTTGTTTGTTTGAAAACCTGTATTCAATCTGCTTTTAAAGACTATTTTTTTTTTTGTTAAATCTGAAAATACTGATCTTGTCAATTGCATCAGATATCTCTCGCTCTGTCCTTGAATGTAACTGCTTACGTAATTTTGGCGTGTTTTTTTTTTTAAGTTGTTTTCTTTGACATTTTTACGCATTTGGACACCTAAATTGTATTGATGAAATATGATCAAAGCCTCATTATCATTCTGTGAGAATGGCTTGACCCATTTAACAGACATTCTTTCATAATTATTACCGTGAAAAATTTTCTTGACGTTTCGTTGAAAAGTCGTAAGGTGAGATATATATATCCCGATAGAATATTAACTAACATCTTAACTTTATTAGCGGCGTATTTCAAGACAACACAAAATTTTATTGGGGCAGATTTTTTTTTTTTTTTTTTTTTCATTTTCCCAAAATACGGAGTTGGCGGGTCAGTAAACCGAAATATCAAAAAATAATGGCCTAACTCGCCGGAAAATCCGTGTAATACAGGCAAGTACTTGAGCTACCAATCCATCCTGTAAAGTTTCATTGAAATTGCATTAGTGGTATAAGAGGAGTATTTAAAGGGCCATAACTCTGATAAAAATCATCAACCAGAATGCCAAAGATATGCATAACTAGACTTGGTACTGATCATTCCTGTAAAGTTTGGATAAAATTGCACTTGTAGGTTTTGAGGAGTAGTCCAGACAAGTTTTGGATGGACAGATTGACGGACAGATGACAGAGAAGTGATCCCTGTATGTCGCCACTACTCTGTAGAGGCTGCACAAAAATTAATATAACCCGGAATACTGCAGTGTGACCACTAACATTCATTCTGCTGGCTTAAGGCTAAATTTTATTTCCCTGAGATTGTGACATGGCCAAGTGGTAAACATGCTGAGATTGTTGGCTGCGTGGATTCAAACCTTATAAGGGGAAAGGCGTAACTTTCTTGCACAAAAAACTTTACACGACAGGAACATATTCAACAGTGTTTCAATATGCTTACAGCTTCCAACACAAACTAAAACAAATTTGTATATATCAATACTACTGATGCTTAATTCCAGTACTTTGATATTGAAATCTCTCAAATTAACAAGAGAAAATTAAAACTTTCAACCAGGACAAGTCCTTTATACTAATACAGCAGGACAGAGATTAAATAAATCAGAAACCAATTCTTACTTCAAATTTTTTTCTATGACTATTCTGTTTTCTAAATAAAAATAAATAAGGTTGGTCACTATAGACGACAGAGATCGAAAAATCCACTTGTCTGCTTGTAATTACGAGTAGAATCTAAGAAAATTTGATGCAGGACGAGTAGAAAAATGTTGCCTGTACATTGGATTTACAAGCTACTCGTCCTGCAGGACAGGTGACTCTGAAAATAGTTTTGGATGCCTGCAAATTGTACATGTATTTAACATTTATATGATTACTTAACCTGTGTTTATGTAATAACTAAGAGTTAATATAGTAACATGTATGTAATTTTATGTAATGACTACGAGTTAAATATAGTAACAACTAACAAGTATGTAATTACTTACCCTAGGTTTATCACCACTAGTATCTGTCCAGTACTTGTGGAATTTCACAATATTTGGATGGTCAAGTTGTATCAGGTTGTCAAACACTTGACGAATTTTCTCCTAAATGTAAAAAAACATGTTTATCATGTTGCATTAGGCTTAATACAATGTAGGTAGGTTAAATATATTTTTAATTTTAAATGATTTTCGCTGTTCATCAATTATATTACTACACATTTTTTTCTTGTCAAATATCGAACTTATAGCCTTTGTCAATTCAGAGAGACAGATTTTTTAAGTTTTTACTATATACATGTAAAGAAAACCCATGACCCCTCGGGCAGGGCTAATTTTGACAATAGGGGCAAAATTTGAACATCTTTGGTAGAGGACCTATAGGTGATATACCGAATATCAAAGCTCTAAAGTCTAAGTCTTGTACTTTAGTACAAGAAGATTTTTCAAATTTTTACTGTTTTTATTTTTTTTATTATGGTATGATGGATTTCATAGATCATGTATATATTGAATTACTATAACTATATTTATTAATTATTATATTATTATTATAATTATTATGATATTCGTTTTTAGTTTGGAGTATAAGATAAGTTTCTTGTTGGCAGTTTTTGTTTCCATAATAATTACCCCTAAAAAATGATTTAAATTAATTTGGCAATACATTTTTCTTGGTCAGAGCAATTTTCATGGGTAGGTCAGAGGAGTGGAAATAACAATATCTACCAGGGTTCTCGGGGACGCCTATTTCGGCGTCCCGGTACGCTTGTTTATTGCAGCTGGACGCAAATATTTCAGAGCAAGGATTCAACGTACGCTCAATTTAGCCTGGGGACGCATCAACATTACCGATTGTTTACAACCACAAATACGTCAGCGCGTGTCAGTCTATAGGTAGGCGGTCCTATGCACATTGACCCGTGAAGCGATTAGCCAATCAGCGATAACACTTTCGATCATTATCACGCAATAGAGATCAGACTAATCCCGTATACACGTGCTGTACATGTAATTTTCAGACATAACACGAGGTGATAATTTAATATCTTTGATCAACAGTTGATTGGAAATTAGCAAATTTTACCGACAAAAGGATAAAAATATCGACTATTTACGCAGCAAGTTTAAAGACTGTTTTCTCAAATTACAAATGAGTGTAATTTTGAATTGTATTGTCGAAATTTTCGGCATTTTCTAGGCAAAAATATTGCTATAGTTTCATTCTTGCAAAAACGTTATATAAGAATATTAATAAAAATATTATTTAACATATTGTGCCGAAATGCCAGGACAACTAACCAAAATACACATACTCTTTTCTTTGACATTAAGATTCTATCCGAAAATTGATCCCGAACATCGGCGATTTCACGTTCGACGGAATTTCAGAAACCCTAAAATTTCGCAAAAATTTTCAGTTTCCAAGCCAAACATGAGAATGAATTGTTCCTTTATCATTTAATCAGCATTAAATCTCTATATATCGATCTTCAATTCGCCCCTTTTGAAGATATTTGCTAAAATAATTGTCGATCGGATGAATCTCTTACACACTGTGTGAAGCTGTACACGATTTTCCTATTCATTCCGCTACACGCTGCCTATATACATTACGTTTTTTTTTACAAATATAAACTTTTTGTCTTTAGAGTGGACTTATTTAACCAGAGTAAAATTTTATTTGGTGAAAAAGACACACAAAAAAAAAAAAAAAAACAAAACAATAACTAGACCTATCACTGAAGGTGATTAATACCCCCACCAGCAACTTTTTGAAAAATAAGTAGTCTGAAGAAAAATTTCAACACAAACTATCAACTGTGTACAAAGAAATATTTCAATTAATTGTAATCCCAACTGGGGTCTCCAAATAAGCTTGCTTTTCACAAAGTTTGATTACAATATCTCATTCCTAACTCTAGTTATTGTCCGGAAACCATTTTTCTATTTTTAGGAATGGTGACCTTGACCTTGACCCCAGGGGGTCCAGTGCAATACCAACCCAGGTCTTCATATAAGCTTGCTATACACCAAGTTTGATAACAATATCTCATTCCTAACTCTAGTTTTTGTCCGGAAACCATTTTTCTATTTTTAGTAACGGTGACCTTGACCTTGACCCCAGGGGGTCCAAAAACAATACCAACCCAGGTCTTCATATAAGCTTGCTATACACCAAGTTTGATTACAATATCTCATTCCTAACTCAAGTTATTGTCCGGAAACCATTTTTCTATTTTTAGTAACGGTGACCTTGACCTTGACCCCAGGGGGTCCAAATGCAATACCAACCCAGGTCTTCATATAAGCTTGCTATACACCAAGTTTGATAACAATATCTCATTCCTAACTCTAGTTATTGTCCGGAAACCATTTTTCTATTTTTAGTAACGGTGACCTTGACCTTGACCCCAGGGGGTCCAAATACAATACCAACCCAGGTCTTCATATAAGCTTGCTATACACCAAGTTTGATTACAATATCTCATTCCTAACTCAAGTTATTGTCCGGAAACCATTTTTCTATTTTTAGTAACGGTGACCTTGACCCCAGGGGGCCTAAATGCAATACCAACCCAGGTCTTCATATAAGCTTGCTATACGCAAAGTTTGATAACAATATCTCATTCCTAACTCTAGTTATTGTCCGGAAACCATTTTTCTATTTTTAGTAATGGTGACCTTGACCCCAGGGGGTCCAAATGCAATACCAACCGGAGTTTCCACATAAGGTTGCTATATACCAAGTTTGATTACAATACCTCATTCCAAACTCTAGTTATCGTCCGGAAACCATGATGTGGACCGACCGACGGACGGACCGACCAACCGACCGACAAGCTGACTCCTATATACCCCCCCTAAACTTCGTTTGTGGGGGTATAATTATGCTATGTAGTTCAGAGTTTGTTTTGAATAACTATAAACTTTGAAAGTCTCTTGAAGATTCAAAATATCAGCAATGCTATTTTGAGCACTGTAAACATATTTATTGCGACGTGCCTTTGGACTCCAACTTTTTCAGGTTTGGGAGTCCATGGACTCCATGTTTTAAAGTCCTAGTGAGAACCCTGATCTACTATCTAGTCATACCTCCCCTTCTATCTGTTGAGCCTTCCTATTTCTGTTTTCTGAGAAATACACCTCATTCCACACCACTTCCATCCCTTCCTCTGTATCCATAGCAAGGAATGCACTGTCAATGCCTGGAACATCTCTTTGCTCTACCTATAAATTAGAATGTAACAAACAATTAAACATGAAAGTCATTAAGTGGAAAACAGTGTCCTTTTACTATTTAAGTGTAGACAGATATCCTTACATAAAGACCTGACTGTTGAATGAACAGTTTGTAAAAACACATTCTTAGAATTTTTTATGTCAAATGATCAATGTAGCCTGACTTTTTGTCCTTTCGACTAAATCTTAAAAAAAAAACACACATGTGTGCTTACAGTCAGGAACCTCCTAATTTATTTGCTGCTTTATTAAGACATATAATAGAAATATCCTGGATTAGGACCTGCTGTACATTTCAGAAGTGAAACTTTAATAAAACTAACGAAAGAATTACAGAATGAATGGTATACATACTCTTGGTTTAGACCCTGTGTCTTTTTTATTTCAGGATATAGCCATATGACATGCAATTTTACAAACAAAATTTAATGTGTGCATTTTTACTACATTGTTATTTGTGACGGAATAACAATCTAAAACTAAATGTGCATGATGATATATATTAATCTAACACCAATTGGTTGCCTCAATAAAACCAATAAGTTTTAATTGCTATCCAAATATCAGGTGCTCCTATCATGAGGCCTCACAGGAGGAGAAATTATTGGTATGTGAATCACTGAATGTGTATTTTTATCCATAGTAAAAGTATTCTATGAACAATTGAAGATTATATATTCCGGTTTGTTAAATGTTAGAAATACATTATTATGTAATTTTTCTGGCTCATAAATTCACTTGTCGATAAACCAGTACCCAGGTAAAGTCTACTTGTCCACCAGCTGAGCAGAATACATGTCTGTGTCAGATGAATCAGACATTATACACAGGACTTCGGTTAGGGTAATTTTAATTTGAAAATATCTTTCCCTTTTGACTATGACAGACAACTTTTATAGATTACAGTTTTCAATAGCATTTGCATGTAGTATCCATCTTAATCATAAAACTTGTTTTGAACAGTTGAAGACATGAAAGTTACTGACCGAAGCATTGCATAAATTTATTAATTTTTAAGAAAATGCTGTACAACTGGGATATACAATTACACAGAGTTTCAGATAACGTGCGTATCGGCGTATTTTACGCTTCAAAATCAACTAAATACGCTCCATATTTCAAATTTCTTGCGTTCATTTACGCATGCTATAAATTAAATACGCAAAGAATGAAAAATCGAAGCGTATTTTGTGTGTACTTTCATTTTTGAAACAGCTGATTCCGTTTCCGTTTAACAGTTGACTGTGTGTCTTTTTCCCGTTTAAAACCCGAAAAATAACACCAACTATTTTTACATTCTGTAAACCAGTCAAATTATGTCTTTATCACATAGGCGCTTGGTAAAATGTGTTGCTTGATTTCTCTTATAATTGCAAGCGTTTATTTATAAAGACTTACATTATGGCTGCTTAGGAAAATTGACAATTTTTTTATCACGACTGAGTTGCCTGCTAAAACAATAATTATTGTAAACCCAATTGTTGAAGACATTTTAGATAGTGTATAATTATTTAAAGTGAAAAGGGCGCACATAACTGTGAATCGCAATACTTGGAAACACTTGGAAATTGGCAAAAAAAGTTATCCGTGGCTGCAAATTTCAGAAACTGGTATTGAAGTGTGAATGAAATGTTTGACTTGTCATAAATTTAAAGCTGGCATTGTATGGGCTAATGAATGTGCAATAAATATACAGAAATCGGCAATTGACAGGTGATTATTTGTAAGTTATTGTTTATGATTTGTCACCGATTTTTGTTGTAAACAATGTTAAATAAAAATAAGAAAATGGTAAAGGCCTTATGGCTGAAGCCTTAATATCAGAGAATGGTCATTATGGTGTGTTTATTTCAATGTAATAAACCTGTGATGCAGCAAAAAAAGTAAACTCATTTAATTGTACTCTTTAGATTAACGGTTTATCTAAATTTACCCCCACATTCTGAAAAGTGGGGGTAATTACACCCAGCTCCAAAAAATTATCTGGAACTCTGATTACAGCTAGTAGTACAGGACTTGATCATCTCAATAGTTTTTGGTTTTGCCTGGATTCGACACTAGACAAAATATTAGATGTATCAAAGCTAGATTCTGAGATATTTTGTTCCATTTCGAGACGTTTCGGCCCCAAGACGTATCGGCCCCAAACTACCCAAGACGTTTCGGCCCCGGACGTTTCGGCCCTTTACCAAATCGGCCCCAGAATAAGTACTGTATTTTAAACCGATATATTAATAGCATTTCAATAAATAAATGAATCAATTAATATATATATATTTAATCATTTTGTATAAAAACTAGATTATAATAGTAGTAGGGGAAAAGTAATCAATACAAACAGAACAGAACATAAACTTTATTTGAAAAAAATATAATACACAAACAAACAATTATTTACAACAAATATAGACAATATTTTATTAATACAAACAGAACAGAACATAAAATTTATTTGAAAAAATATAATACACAAACATACAATTATTTACAACATATATATAGATAATGTTTTATTAATGCAAACAGAACAGAACATAAACTTTATTTGAAAAAATATAATACACAAACAAAAAATTATTTACAACATATATAGATAATATTTTATTTGAAAGATTAAGAAGCAAGACACAAAACAATACACGAGGCAGACATTAAATTATCATCAACAACTATTTAACAGTGACGAGTTTGATGGATACGAAAATACAAGTACAGAACAGTTAAACAATTTTACTTGAAACAAAACAAATGTGAACAGACACTTTTTATAAATAACATTTTTACAATTTTACAATTAAACAACTTTACTTGAAAACTTGTGTGAAGAGACATTTTTATAAATAACATTTTTACAATAAAATATTGTTTTATAAATTAAGTAACCTGCCCTTTATTGTTTGTTACACCTTTAAAACATTAACGTATATCTAAATGATTCAAAAGATAATAAATAATTATTTAAAGAATTAAAGTGTCATAATTGTTTAATCGTAATTAAATTAATTGTTGTTAATCAATCAAGCAATATACTAAAGTGGGGCCGAAACGTCTCGCGGAAAAGGGCCGAAACGTCCAGGGGCCGATTTTTCGATTGGGGCCGATTTGGTTTGGGGCCGAAACGTCCTGTTTGCATTTTGTTCTAGGTCAGAATCAGGGAGCACAAATTATAACTCAAATAGTTGGACCAAAAGAATATACTAGCGTTCATACCCATTAGTAGACATAATAGGCACGTTCAGTATATATAGTATATTACTGACAGTCTGTATTTAAAAAAAGGCAAAGGGGTATTAAACTGCCAAAAAAAATTATGATTTTCATCAACTAACCTCCTCTCTTCTTTTTTGCCATCTTCCGCACGGGCTTTCTTCCAACACCTCACTTTCTTCGTCGGTATCTTCATCAGCGCTGTCTGGCTTAGCAGGAATGGTTTCCTGATCTGTTTCAGCCATTGTTGAGGTTGTGTGTCTCAATTTTCTGTTAGATATTTCGCTGTAGCAGTTTCTTGTTGACAGATGGGACAGAGTTGACTGTGATTTCAAAAGTAAAATATTCTGTTCGAAAAATGAGATACAATCAAGAAACCAGTCAAGTAAAAATTCATCTCAGTCCTAAAAACGCTCATTACATCAAAAGTTGGAAAAATGTATCAGTTATGAAGACAATAGAACAAATTACTGACACTTTTTATTTGGAAGATATTTTTCATGATGAAAAAAATGAATTTAAAGGAAAAATATTTTCCTTGGGGTTTAATAAAAAAAAGTTCACTATACCCTAATATCTTTATTTTCATTAACTCATATGTCAGGATGGCCGAGTGGTCTAAGGCGCCAGACTCAAGGTGATAAACCTTCATAACGAGTGTTCTGGTCCACGTATGTGGGCGTGGGTTCGAACCCCACTTCTGAAAACCATACTTTGTTATTTTTTTTTAAAAAACTTTTGCTTTTTAAAACGAGTTTAAATCGTTCCTCAATTTTAAAATTTTTTTCTTTTTTTTGTTTTTACCCCAACAGGGTCTTAAAAAACTTTTTGGGTTTGAATATTGAACCCCCTCAAAATTAAAATGAAACTTTTTATATATTTTCCCAACATTTTAAAAAATTAAATATTTTAAAAAATCTAATTATTTTTAAACTGGATAGGGGTTATGAATAACTCAAAACAGTGATGACCTTTTTAAATTAATTTTTCCAACCCATTCATTTTTTCTTTTAAATTTCAAATATTTTTTAAAAAAGTTTTTCCTTTTATTTTTCACTTTCAAATATCGTTTCCAGATTTATGGAAAATTTTTAAAAAAAATTTTAAATTTTTAAAAGATACACTTATATTTAGTTATACAATCAAGATAATAATTAATTGAGGCCTCGGTAGCCGACTCGTATAAGTAGATCACCTGCCCCCCTGTGAACAGTATTTTTTTAAGGGGGGTGGCGAATCATGCGAGCAGTCTTTCCAACTTGATGTTGAAAGGTCGGTGGTTTTGCTCTAGTGCTCACTCATACCTGAAAAAAATACACTGAGAATTACACTATGTCTTCCTCCACCAACACAGATGGAATGTCGCCAAATGGCATTTACAGTGCTGATGTGACTTGAGCTAAACCCAACGAAAAATGATAATAATTGTAATATTGAAATAATTTTTTTTATTTAATACTGTAATGCAGTCTTACAGATATGACATAGACGAGTGGTCTGCAGCCTTAAAAAAAACTCCAAATCGCGATTGATCGACATGATATAATTATGTCAGCATAGATTCAAATGTTACAAATGACCTTTAATGATAGTGTCGATGTGACTTATTCAAATCCCAAATAATAACCAGCAAAATATTATAATGATGAAATACACATTTTGAATTAATACTGTGTTCCCGTCTTACAGATATGAGGATCGACGAATGGTCAGAGGCCTAAAAACCTTCTAAAAACCGAGATCATATATTAATGTCAGCATGCATTTATACTATATGTTACCGTAATTTATTTTACGGTTCAAGTGAATGTAAAGATATGTCAGGATGGCCGAGTGGTCTAAGGCGCCAGACTCAAGGTGATAAACCTTCATAACGAGTGTTCTGGTCCACGTATGTGGGCGTGGGTTCGAATCCCACTTCTGACACATACTTTTGTTATTTATTTTAAAAAAAAACGTTGCTTTACCAAAACGAGATAAATCGTTCCTCAAATGTTACAACTTTTTTCTTTTATTTGATTTTACGCCAACATGTCTTCAAACATTTTGTTTCGAATACTGAACCACCTCAATAATTAAAATGAAACATTCGTTATATATGTTCCAACTATTTTGAAAATTATATCTTAAAATCTAATTACTTTTAATAACTAGGATAGTGTGCTATGAATACACTCAAAACACCAGTGATGACCTTCCTGACTATAATATCTTACAACCATTCATTTCTTCATTTATATTCAAATATCTCTTTAAAAGTGTTCCTTTTATTTCATTCACTTTCAACCATATCGTTTCCAGATTTATCGCGACTTTTATAAAAAATATTAATTTTAAAAGATACACTTATATTTAGTTATACAATCAAGATAATAATTAATTGAGGCCTCGGTAGCCGACTCGTATAAGTAGATCACCTGCCCCCCTGTGAACAGTATTTTTTTAAGGGGGGTGGCGAATCATGCGAGCAGTCTTTCCAACTTGATTTTGAAAGGTCGGTGGTTTTGCTCTAGTGCTCACTCATACCTGAAAAAAATACACTGAGAATTACACTATGTCTTCCTCCACCAACACAGATGGAATGTCGCCAAATGGCATTTACAGTGCTGATGTGACTTGAGCTAAACCCAACGAAAAATGATAATAATTGTAATATTGAAATAATTTTTTTTATTTAATACTGTAATGCAGTCTTACAGATATGACATAGACGAGTGGTCTGCAGCCTTAAAAAAACTCCAAATCGCGATTGATCGACATGATATAATTATGTCAGCATAGATTCAAATGTTACAAATGACCTTTAATGATAGTGTCGATGTGACTTATTCAAATCCCAAATAATAACCAGCAAAATATTATAATGATGAAATACACATTTTGAATTAATACTGTGTTCCCGTCTTACAGATATGAGGATCGACGAATGGTCAGAGGCCTAAAAACCTTCTAAAAACCGAGATCATATATTAATGTCAGCATGCATTTATACTATATGTTACCGTAATTTATTTTACGGTTCAAGTGAATATTGTGTTTACTGTAAAGATATGTCAGGATGGCCGAGTGGTCTAAGGCGCCAGACTCAAGGTGATAAACCTTCATAACGAGTGTTCTGGTCCACGTATGTGGGCGTGGGTTCGAATCCCACTTCTGACACATACTTTTGTTATTTATTTTTAAAAAAAACGTTGCTTTACTAAAACGAGATAAATCGTTCCTCAAATGTTACAACTTTTTTCTTTTATTTGATTTAACGCCAACATGTCTTCAAACATTTTGTTTCGAATACTGAACCACCTCAATAATTAAAATGAAAATATTATTTATGTTACTATGGAGGGCGATCGTTGCCAAAATTCTAGTCATGTAATGTATTCCTTTTGAAAACTACTTTTGAAAATGCGAACGTGTATGTCTAGCATTTTTTATTGTATTCCTGCACAACAAATGATATGCCTCTTAATCCAATCTTTTAATTGAAGGCACCCGCTTTTAAATAACAAGTTTACATGTTAATCTCAACAACTGACATAACATGGAGAACAACAACAAATTTACAAGTTCGTATCTTCCATTGCATATAATACATAAGCATGTTTACACACTTGTAGATATCTATCTGTACCTGAAAAATACAAATGAAATGTAAAACTCGAATACAGAAAATAGAATTTAATAAAACGTGTTTCCAGTCGTAGAACTACAACAGTACGTTTACACAGTAACACGTTTAAAATGACAAAAGTAGATTCACAAAGTTAAACGATTTTAAGTCATGCATGACGCCCCGCCCCTCTCTGAGTACTTACGATCTTCTATTACGAAATGTACGGACAGGTATAATACCCGTCGCCTCTCTCCTATTTCTCAATAATGTGAAGGAAAACACGGCGTCCATTCTAACTTTTTTTATTTCTATAAAAAGTCAAATATTTTTTGTATCAAATGAAAGATTACTCCATAAGCTTTGTATGAGTGCCTCAAAAATAAAAATAAATTAAATAGATGTATTGAAATTTTTGTTTCAAAATTTATCATTTTTTCCTCTGAAAATAACACTCTCGAATTGGTAAGAAAAACACGGCGTTCCCTCCAAACTTTTTTATTTCGTAATCAATTTTGATAATTTTGGATTGAAATAAAAGTGTGCTTCATACGATTTATAATATATAATTATATAATGCCCAAAAATAAAACTGAATTAAACCAAAATGAATTAATTTTTTCGTTTTAAAGTTTATCATGTTACTTTCTGTAAAATAGAGAAAATAAGAATCCCTAAAGAACGCTCAAAACGACAAAATTGAGAATGTTGCAGACTCGGTTTGATTGAGCCTGTTCATGGACGGTAATTGAAAGTGCAAGTTACCGTCCACGCCCCCTAGCACCGTCTCAAGCAAAATTCAACATTTAATATGAACTGGTACAATTTCGAAACTTCCGCATATGTGTTAAAATGGCGATTATCATGGAACCTTCAATGAGACACGTAAGTGCCATTCCATGAAAAACGGCATATGGCCCCAAGTAAGAAAACAAAACACACTCTGAAATTCAGTAAGAGAAACATGGCGCCCCCTACTTACTTTTTTATTTCTTGGTCAATTTTGATAAATTTAGACTCAAGTAAAAGAATCCTTCATGAACTTTCTAGTGATGCCTTAAAAATGAAAATTAATTACGTATTTAAAATTTTGTTTCGAACTTATCGTTGTTTATTTTTTCTCTCTTAAAACCACACTCATATATTTGGCAAGAAAATCACGTCGCTTCCTTTAGATACTTTATTCAAAAAAGAAAATGAATATTGAATGAAAGTTAAGACCATAAGCTTTGGACAAGTATATTAAAAATCTGGAAACAAAGTTATCCCTCGGAAGCATTAATTACAACAAAATTACATAAAATATGATAAATAAGATTAACAAAGGAAAGGCGGCGTTCAATGAACGCAACCCCCATATGACCCAGCAACAAGAACCAGTGGCAAGGAGCCCAGGCGGACCCCAAACAAAAACAGGACAGGGCAAAGACAGAGCACGGACAGGTTATTCACTAAATGATAAATAATTTGTAACTGATTAGGAATTCAAAGGAATTGCAGACTCGGTTTTATTGAGTCTGTACATGATGGAAAATGAACAAGTGCAACTTCCCTCACGCCCCCTAGCACCGACTTGAGCGGTACTCAATTCTCAACACTTAATAGCGCTGGCATCAATGATCCCGAAGGACCTGAAATATATAACAACACTGAAGTGGAGTACGGGGCAACTTTTTACAGCTGCTACACGGCACTTGACACCTGCTGTTGTGAAGTATAAAAATCTTTAAACAAAGTGATCCCTCGGAAGCATAAATCACAACA